TTCCCCCCCCCGGTGCCTTATTTTTGTCGCTCTGATATCTTACTCGCTTCCCGGCGCAGTGAAGATGATGACGGCGGTAGAATTAATTTTAACTCCTAACTGATGGCGACAACCTTGTAGCGGCGGTGTTAGTAGTAATGGAAGTGGTCATGGTCGTACTCATTAGTCTGATGGGTCCACGACCACCTCGAGGAAACGAAGATGATAAAAGATACGAAGGAATATGCACATGGCCGTCAAGACACGTGAGGGGGTGAGAGATCATGAATTCGTTAAGGAGGATAAAAAATGATGAGAAGAAGAAGAATAAGAAGAGGAAGAATGAGGAGGAGGAGGAGGAGGAGGAGGAGGAGGAGAAGGAAAGGGCGAAACACACACGATAAATTAATGGTCACACAGGCCCATGATTTGACTTTATGGCAGAAAAGTTGCGCGTTAAAGTGCATAGCGTTGCACAGCAGACCGACACTGGTTTCTAGGCAAGGAAAGGGCCGAGTGTCGGATATAACTGGGATACCTCCACTCCGGAGAGACGTTCTCAGATCGAGGAGTCTGTTGGATATAGTTAGAAGGTTCAGACTGTCAGAAAACGGTAGTTTTCGTGCCGTGGACAAACTATTTCTTCCTATTAGGCGAATACTTGACTTAACGGCACACCTGAGCTGGCTTAAAACTAACCATAGTAACCACATGAAATACTGAATCAATGGGATAGAATTGCACTTATAGGAGTATCAACTGGAAGTTCGGGTACCCTCGCCTTTTTAAGTAAATACTGAAATTATGTTTGGCACAAATTATTAGCCCATTATTTTTAATAACCATAGCGAGAAATCGGGCCACAATGCCTGGTGTGGGCTATGACTCAATATTTTCTTTCAGGGAGACTGAGCAGATTGTTCAAAATAAAAAGGACACTGTAGCAATTCGCTAATGCCTTGGAAAGACCCTTCAATTCAGTTTGGTGATTAACGTAGCATGTCTGACTTATCTTGCGGTTTAAGGATTCATACAAGGGCATATTGCATATGACACAATGCATACGATTATATGCGCATTAGATGTCATCACTTACAATAGAGTCCCCAACTCAAACAGTCTCATGAATGCCGAAACATGTTATTGCCTTTCGTTATAAGCTCAGTTCTTCATAGTGCTACTTTATCTTAAGCATGTAGTCGATGTATCTTTCTGAGCCCTAGACCAGAACACACAAAGAATTCTCAAGTCTACAAAGCCCTTTACTATCCCACTGGAACATCCATTTTTTATTCCTTACTGATACGATATTTGGTCTATAAATCCAAGTCGTGCCCAATCCAACAATTACCATGCAGACACTCTGCATGGCAGTCGGCTGCGTGCGATTGTCAAAATTGGAAAGCTGTCGTTATTAGGCGACGGAAATTCGCACTACGTCCGATAGCGCCCTCGAATAGCGCCTTATTTATTCTCAGTCAGCGCAAAGACACATCTGGACCAAGTCACTGGGGGGAAAGGAGGAGGAGGATGCATCTGCAAGCCAACCGATGGATAAGACTGAACATGCAAACACCCACACAGGTGCCCCGTTTGCTGGCACCATTGGTGGTCGAGTAAGT